GTAGGGTCACGGATTTACGTGGCACCAGCACCAACACTACTCACTCAGCAAACATTAAACAGTGGGCGTGTCCCCGGAGCACAGTGCTGCATTGTATTACGACGAAGCACCGTCAATTATTCTATTTGCTTTAAATTACTTATTAGTTGAAATATTCTCCATCTGCCTTGGCATATCCTTACTGCAGTGCACACACACGTATCACGCAGGCAGGAAAATATCTAGGCCGTATTCTGGTAGATAGGCACTTTCCAGGCTAGACATTCACATTAACACCTGATCCAAGAGAACCCTTTTTTGTACACTGCGTAGCGACACTTTTGACCTCAGTTGCACAGGACCATGAGGCCAGAATCTGTGCACTGGATGGCTGTGTCTAGACTGGCCAGTTTTTCCGGAAAATCAGCCACTTTTCCGGAAAAACTTGCCAGCTGTCTACACTGACCGCTTGAATTTCCGCAAAAGCACTGACTTCCTACTCCATCCTTGGCTGCAGGGATGCGCGTGCCGGCAGCCAGGATAAGTGAGCAGCCAGCAAGCACTCTGACCCTGCTGCACTGCCGGCAGTCCCCCCCCCACTCCTCCAGGATGGCAGGTGGGGCTGGAGGATGTGTGGTGGGGAGGGAGAAGCTTTCTCTCTCACAGGGCTGAGGGTGGCAATATTGCACAAACCTGAGAACCTTCAGTGACTCTCAAACCCTTTGAACAATAAATCACGATCCCTAATGGAAGGAGGTTCCTAGTGGGTGTGTCTAGACTACAGGGTTTTGTCGACAAACGTGGACTTTTGTCGACAAAACTATACCTGCGTCTGCACTACTCGTCAGTTTTGTCGACAGTGGTAAACCTCATTCTGTGAGGAATAACGCCTTCTGTCAACAGAAGGCATTATTGCATCTACACTGTCCTTTGCGTCTACACTGTCATGTCGACAAAGTGGCTTGCTTTGTCGACAGAACTGGCTGTAGTCTAGACGCTCTTTGTCAACAGAAGCTTTGTCGACAGTATCTGTCAACAAAAGACTGTAGTCTAGACGTACCCAATGTGTTGTTCAGTCATTTATTTACTTCTAAACATTCCTGGAAGAAATTAACCCTCTCGTTCTCCTCTTCACAATTTGTACCATCGCACATTTAATAAATAACCGTAATTACAAGGCTAAGCAGATTTTAAGCAGATCTTATTGACATTGTGAAGACCAGGACTTTAACAGGGTTCAGAAAAGAGCTAGATGCATTCATGGAGGTTGGGTCCATCAATGGCTCTTAGCCGGGGGTAGGAACGGAGTCCCTAGACTGTTTGTCAGGGCCTGGAAATGGGCAACAGGAGAGGGATCATGTGAGGAGTCCCTGTTTCTCTTCACTCCCTCTAGCATTGGCCACTGTGGGCAGACAGGACACTGGGCTGCATGGACCTTTGATCTGATGATTGTTCTACTAAAGATAATGTACAAAGTATCAAACTTATATTAAGGTTCCAAAATTGACACCTCAAGATTTGGGATTGGAAATATCTTGCTGTGGATTGCTCTAAATTTACAACGAAACCAGTTTTCTCAAAGCGATCTGCTAAACCCCTTGGAGAAACCTAACTGGCCCCACTGGGTTATTTACCGGCACTGCAGCTACGGAGCTTCACGGCTCCCGTTGGCTGGTTCTCCCCACGGGAAGCAGCATCCAGCCCACGCTCCCCTTGGCTGCAAACGGCAGAACGGAGCCAGTGGGAGCCGCAAGGCTCCGTGGCCATGGGCCGGTAAATAAACAAACCGGGTGGCCACTGAAGAGGTTTTCAGAGCGATTTCGCAGTACACGTATCATGTGGCTTTGACTGGTATTCGTTAGGAACAATGTTCCTGCCTGTTCACTTCCAAGTGCAAAACCCAGGAGTTTTCAGGTGCCTAAGTAGCTCTGGTTGGAATCATG